TCAAGATGAAATCAGAAAATATATTATATAAAAAATTATATAATGCGTTGTTTCCCATTAAGTAAAATATATCATTAAATTAAAAAAAAAAATAATAATATTATAAATATTAAGTTATGTTGAACTGGACACATGCATAATAATATAGCTTTAAATAATTTATTTTTGGACTGATTTATCATATATTTTAATAGGTTAATAAAATAAAAATAAATTAAAATTAAAAATAATGTGTCGCTAGTCAGCAATATTTAGTATAGAATAGACTTATTTTATTAGTATACTTATACAGTTTCGGATGAAAAACTTTTGCAGCTTATAAAGCTTTATGCAAACTTTTATACAAACCATAAAATTGCTTTATTTAAGCAAACATCTGAAACTTGTCATAGTTCTCGCAACTGTCTGCTTATCTGAAAACTTATCTTTTATCTATTTGATTTCATTTCAGAGACCCGCAAGATGCACGGCGTCAAGCGTGTGCTCGTGTTTTGCATTATGATTGTAATACTGCCGGCAATACTGATCATAATGCCACTCTATATGCGCAAGACGATCTTCGCAGATGTCATCTATCCGGTTGCCGAATCGGACATCATTGAGATAAGGGATGGCATTTCCTCGATATTCTGTTCGAAGCACACGCTGCGCATGAATAGCCATTTCAATGCCTTTCAGCTGCGCAACAAACCCGAAATATCCACGAATCGCAAGCACATCAGGCTAAAGAAGTCAATGACACTGCCGGACGATACCCTGGAATATTGGGGTTTCTTTTTGCTGAAGGGTGCACGCGTTTCCCTCAAGTTCTGTTCGCGCTACAATGGATCGCGTTTGCTGGTGATCAAGGGCAAGCGAGAGCTGAAACTCTGCGGCCTCACCGATCACAACAAGAACAAACTTGGCGCCAACTATGCCCAGGGCCACGAGCAGGTCAAAGTATTCTTCGAGGATGTGGTGGAAATCACCGAGGAGAAGCTCCAAGTTGATGGACTACTCGAGCATGAGAATCACGGAGGCGAAGATCTAAGCGACGATCATCCGCCAGCAAACGCCAGCCTAAAGCCGACGCCGGTGCCAACGCCCGCAAAGCGACAGCAAAAGAAACTCAAGAAGGGCACGGCTCACCCGATGCCCAAGTCGATGGAATCACTTGATCCGACTGTTCACAATGAGAGCAGCAATGCGGCAGGCCATCACACGAGACGTCAGGCATCCCATGAGCGGGACAAACGGCAGCTCTATGAGCAGCTTTACAAGCGCAAGGAGCGACAGAAGCGTGAAAATGTCTATGACCGGAAATACAGTCACGGCGGCAATGCGGTCAACTTTACGGAGACTGATGAATCCAATTCCATATCGAGCTTTGAGACTGGACTCTTTGAATGCTTCAATGGTGCCATCTTGCTGGCCGAGGGCTTTCCCCCGAAGCCGGCGTGCATGAATGCGCACTTTCTCGAAAAGGGCAAACACGATACGGTCAAGCATAATATCACCGAGGATGGTTACTATTATTATATATTTTACAGTGACAACGATCTGGTGCGCAACGATATACACGCCATTTTCGATATCTATAAGCCAACATTTCAATACTCGAATCTAAGTGAATCGCGTGGCTGCTTGAACAGCACCGATTGCAGTTTCAACATTGGTTTCCTATCCGACGAAATTGTCGTCGTCGAGGTGCCCACACGGGATGGCATCGAGCATGAGGAAGATGATATTACAAATCTCATCTCAACTTGTCATCCGCGTAGCGAAATCTATGCACTATTTCCCATAACGGTGCTGGTGCTCATATTATGCTGCTCATTCCTATAGAAATTTGTGCGACGTGAGACGTTCGCAGTTTGTACTCTAAGAATCTTGTGATAATTGAGATAATCGAGTGATATATGTATGTATGTGTATGTGCGTGAGCTGGCCCATAAGACATGAATCGTCATAAAGCATGCATCAAATGTAACACAGTCTGAACCCATGTGTAACCAAAACAAATCAACTAGAATATGCTATATAAAAGAAATTTTTAAAAATTAAACAAACAGAAAATTAAAAAAAAATAATTATAACTATATAATTTTGTAAGCCGATATTTAGTGTAGGACCCAAGCATTTAGGCTAGAAATTGACATGAGAAATACGTAAAATTAAATATACATATTATATATAAATACCACATGCATATATATATTATTTATATACAAATTTGTACAAATAGATGAAAAAAAAACAGTGCTATATTAGTTATAAGTTAAATATAGTTTTATAAAATAGTTTTAAATGCAATTAAAATAAAACTGAAAAATGTAATTGCCTTTTAACAAATATTTAAAGTAAATAATTTAAATTATTATTATTTTTTAAGCAAAGTTTTGCTCTTAAATTAAATTACTAAAATGAAATGTTTTATTACAACTGCTGAACAATAATTTTAAGCAAATTTTCTACTATTCGAAAAAAAATGTGTACATTTTTTAAATTTTGATTTATTGACTAAACATTAAAGAGAAAACAAATAAAGAATTTGTGTTTATTTTAGTTATTTTAAATCAATTCACACGCAATCTACTTTGCATGCAGCGTGACTTTTGATTTCACCTAGTTCGCGTACCATTCAAAGAGAATAATGCAGATACATATACATCGATTCATATATATATAGAGCTATGCATATACCTGATAAAATAAACAATATGAAACAAGTACGACCGTTGCCGTCGACTGTAACCGACTATAAAATACTTATTCACTGTCCAAACGCTACCAGATATACTATACGATTTTTTACGCCCTTAGTTGGTATATAAATATATTATTTGCAAGTGAATATAGGACTTCAACAGTAATTTAGTCGGGTTTCTAGCTCTAAAACTGTAGCTTTAATTGCGGCTAAATGCTTTGGCTCATACGGAAGAATGCAAGACTGACAAAAATGCAAGACTGACACAAAACCAATATACTCACTTCAATTTCGTGAATGAGTGTAACAACTAGCTTGTCATCGCAGCGAAATAATTTGAATGTCTATATATGATTCATGCTGCATGTGTAAAATAGTTTAGCAAATAGAGACATCGTATAATAAGCAAAGCCAGTGCTTTATAAAATGAGCTGAATATTGATAACCTAATAATTAATGAATTAGCTCAAATATTTTGCTATGGCACACAAGCTGTGTAAATTTACAATTTCCTAAGTTATACAATTAACTGACAACTAAGTACTTGATAAGTAACGTCGGATTAAACGCCTTAACTTATTGCAAAATTTCATCATTCATTCGCCCCATTGATATTTTGATCATTTAGCACCCGCAAAGAAAAGCTGCTCGCTATAGCACGCAGGTTCTGAACTTGACTAGCCCCTGTATCAACTCTTTGAAATGCTCATCAGTGTTGCCAAATCAGACTTTTCTCCGTCAAATCTGGCTTTTTTGAAAAGCTGATTGCGGGCAGCGGGAATTCTGGATTTTTAAAAGAATAATTTGCTTTATTTTCGCTTTTTTTTTATTTATTGAGCGAATTTTCATATTTTGCATTCGTATGTAGAATGAAGTTTTCTTCATTGTAGTTGAATTAAAACCAAATAGTTCAGTAATTCAAATTTCAATAGACGAACCAAGCGGTAAAATTATGGAAGTAACTAAACATTCTATGTAAATGAAACCAAAAGATTTTTTAACAGACCTTATAAAGCAATTAAAAAATGTATGCAACTCTTTTTATAGCGTGTAGTACAAGAATTTATGTGTTAAAGGTTGCCGACAAATTTTCAAATAGTGCAAAATGTTGATTCATTTTTATGCATATATATTTTTGGAGAACATTGAAAGTATTCAACACCAATATAAGAACATTCACCCAATTCAGTAGGAAACTACGCTACAAAGTTTTGGGTTGAGAGGCGTGTTTCTAAGGGTTCGATAGGAAATAAAAAATTTAGGAACTTGGCCCCTTTTGCAATGCGCAAGTGGGTTAAATTTTTCGTCAGATCAATACTGTGATGCTTAACTCAATTTCAAGCGTCAGGTAAAACATATATAATATTAAAACTTCACAGATACGGCTTGCGGTGGTTGAAGAAATGATGTTATGATTCTAAGTTCTTAAAAATATATTTAAATATCAATCAAATGAAAGCAAAAAAAATCAGATTTTTTCCGATTTTTTTTTTTTTTTTTTTTTTTTTTTTTTTTTTTTTTTGTTTTTGGCTTTTTTTAGTATCTTGCCACTAAAAAAGCTTTTTCTGCTCAAGGAAAATTGGCAACACTGATGCTCATGCTCATATCAATAGCGAAATACTTTAACAATTTCCTAACTGGTTTCTTATCACAAAACATGTGGCTTGGTCTTATTTTTAAATCGTGTAACAGCACAGGAAATTGGCTATGTATTACGTAAACATTTCTATTCTTAATTTTTAATTAGATATTGATAGGAATTTAGAACAAAAAGGTGCTTAAATTCGAATTCTTGTCCTTTCTGAGTTCATTTATATAAATGTATACTTTTATCAGTCAAACGTATCGTATTAAGCGATACACATTTCTTAGCTATATTATATTTAATAATTATTATATTTTGATTACAATTTTTGCTCCTATGCTACTAGTATACGAATCGTACCAAATGAATAATAAGCGATACAAATGTTTTTTGTTATACAATACACTGCTTTATTTAACACAACAATATAATTTTAAAAACCGGAAAAAGGTTAAAGAGTCTTGAGGGACAAATTACGGCGTCAACTTACCCCCAAAACCTTCGAAACAGCTGATTTGCCTAGCGCCCTCCCCTTCTCACATTCTTCACATCTCTCTCACTATCTCTCTCTCTCTCACTCATGCTAACTGTAACACTCTCTGGCTCTCTGGTGACATTGTCATGCACACCTGGTCCTGCTACCGAGGGTAGCCAATGCAAAGTTATAAATAAAATGCTAAGGGCTCTCCAGCATTTGCTCTCTCAACTATTCGTCCGCTCAGCATATTTTATGAATTTATGAGTTCCACTGAGTGCATTATCAAGAAGCCGGCCGCATGCCGGCATTTAAGCAATGCTCACGCGCTCTCTCGCTCCCTGACCATCGACAGCCGCCCTCTTAGCACACATCAAAAAAAAAAAAATTTTTTTTTTTTTTTGGGGCAGCGCATGCGTTTTTACTCTCCGCTCACTCGCTCCCGCGCGGGGTCAGCGGTCATATGAGCAAAGCACTAAAGTAAATGCCTGTGAGCGCGCTCATTCGCTCTCTCTCCCTCTCTCTTGCGCTCTCTCTCTCCCACTCTCGCTAACACACATTCAAAATTTTTCTAGTCTGTCGTCGGCTCTTGAGCACATCGCAAATTTCGCGCGTTCTCCGCAGTTGCCGTTTTGTTGTCAGTTCGTGCGCTCGCGCTTCGGTCCGCCGTTCGCGTTGTCGGGAAAAATTAATTTGGTAATTAAATATTATTATTGTATTTTCTCTTATTGTTTAGCTGCGCTTCAATTAAGTGCAATACAACAAGGTCAATTAAAACGCAATCTAAAGTCGTCACAGATTCAAATAAAGCCCGAGCACGTCCTGCGTCACATTAGGCAAAACAGAAAAGAACAGACAAAAATACAACAACAAAAAATAACCAAGACCAACAACAACAGCAAAAACGTAAAGGGAAAAGAAAACAAAACACAACAAAATGACTAAAACTATGCTAAAAATCAATTGTAAGTAGCCAAGTGTAGTGCTAAAATGCTGTATTAAAGCCAAAAATAAGTCCAAAAATAATAACAATAAAAAAATATAAATGTATATTCAAAAAGAATTTGTAAATATTTTGGTCAGCATTAAATGTTCAGCGGAGCTCAGTTCGTTTAGTATGTCAAAACCGAAATCCAATGTGAAATGCATAAAAACCATTTAAAGTGCATTCAAGTGCTGTAAAAGTGAAAAATTAAAATAAAAAAAAAATAAAAAAAACAGACATCAACAAATAAAAACAAAATTCCCTTGCGCATAATTAAGTCTTGAGAATGCAGTAAAGAATAAACGACACGCTTAAATCCGAGCACTAAAGAGAGTTCATATGTGTGTATGTATATGTCTGTGTGCGTACAGAAAGCCCCAAAATAATAATAATATTCAATTGGAGCACAAGGAGATGGCGACCCGCCTGTAGAAACTACCGAATGACATGTGGCGAGCAATGCAGGCCAAGCGATATGCTCTCATTGTGATACAGTATAGTAATATAAGCGCGTAAGCTGAATATCTAAATTAAGTATAAAACAACCGGATCCAGCAGGGCGAATTCACTTTTTAATGATTGACAAATACTTTAAATATTGACAAATATTTTAATATTGACAAATACTTTAAAGTAATTTTAAAAATTAGTAAACATTTCTAAAAATAAAAATAGATAATATTCATAAAACAAAAATTAACAAAAAAACAAGTAAATAAAAACAACAAAAATAAATAAAAAATTAAATAAGTAAATTTCGGACAAAATAATTGTTGGAAAATCATAGAACCAGAAAAAAGAAATACATGTATTAAAAAGAATATATATAAT